ACAACTTCTATTCCAATCACGCTACTGTTATCTCTATTTTTCCGCATTCAGAAAAAATCCCACACTGAAAACCAAAGTATTTTGAGACTCAAATAACCAGTACATTTGGAGACAACACCAAGTAGGGTAGAAGTGTTGATCTGCTGGAGGGAAAGAAGGCTCTGAAAAGAGATCTGAACAGGCTGGATACATATATATATATATAAATATATATATATATATATATATAACCAGACTCAAATTCAGACCTGAAATCCACAACTTGAAGTAAGCTTCAGTTTAGGAACAAAGACCCCAAAATCTGGATTCTCTACAGTTTTTCTGAAAACTTTAGACAAATTGGCTTCCAGCTTCAATTGCTATGAAAACTAATTATCCCTAATTAGATTCAGTTAAGAGTTGTTTCTCTAACTAAAACCTATCTTGAAAGCAAAATGTTAAAAAACCGACTTGAACTAGGAATCATATATGCCATCAAAAGCTGAAAGTCATGACATCAGAAGCTCACTAAAGAATGAGACAAGGGTGATAATAGTTAAAATAGCTGTTCACTGTGCAAGAAACTGCCTCCTTGAATGCTAAAACATCTGAACAAAAAGAACAAATTCAAATGCATTTTGTTCTGAACAATAGGGCTGAGTAACAATCATGCCACAAAGTCACTATTTTCTAGAAACACATTTAGAAACAAAAAATAAGTTTAATTATTCAAATTCATAATCTTACTATAATAACTTTTTTTTCCTCCACCATAAAAGGTTCTTTCTGATCCTGCATTAGAGACAATGAAACTGTTTCTTACATGCTCTTTTACAATATCCTTAATATAAATTATTACAGCACAGGTAGCCTGAGATCTGCAGAACAGCTGGTGACACCAAGGGTGATAGAAACTGATATGAATTTCTTTAATCCCAGGTTTTGATTAGTGCATCATCTATGTGGTGGGCCTTTATTATTTTGCTTTCTAAAAGGAATTAATATACTTAGATGTATTAAAACAATTGGAGTTGTGTTAAATAGATCATTACATATGTGAATTTAAATAGTTGGGATAATCTGAACTT